CACCGTGACGTCACTGCTGGAAGATGGCAGGAGGGAGGGGTTACTAGATTTGGGCAAAAATGGCCGCTCCCAGACTCAGTGATCGCCATGAAAATTATTGTTTTTCTTTTATTACAAATTAACTAAAAATTCATGAAATCACTGTGATCGTATTATTTTCAGGCATAAATAATGATCCATTGATTATTCGTTGCTGAGTGGACTTCTTTAAAGCAGCTGTAACACAGACCTCTACAGGAGATCCTACCTGCTAACAGCCATTAGCATCTGCAGAATCTCTAGCCTGGATCTTTTAAGAGTTTTTAACACGTTTACTGATGCTTTAGATTAACTGAACAGAGCTTAATCAAATGGATTCAGGAATTATGATAAAGATCAGATAATTAGCAAAGATAAGAACATTAGAACATCTAAGGTCTGAACCTCCTCAGAATCTAAGATCAAATCCAAGCACCATAGAGGAGACGGCTTGACCTTCAGATCCGTTATCTAATGTCCAACTCAGGAAGAGGAGGAACAAACGGGGAATATTTCCTCTTCCTGATGAAAACCTTTCAGGAGGAAGTCTTTGAAGTCATTAAGAAAGCTTTAAATCTCGACTCTGACCCGGTTCTTTGCTTCATCAGGACCAACCTGATGTCAGCAGCTGAGTCTGTGGGTTTCTGTTTGTTTATCACCAACATATCACGGAGCGGCTGGGGCCCCGGGGCCCCACAGGGTTCTGCTCGGACCCATGCAGGAATCAACCTGCTCTTTCCCCCGGGCCGGGCATCATGACCCGAGTCCGGATCAGCTCTGCTCGGGATGGCCGGCAGGCGAGTTGCTATGGTTACTGCTGTGACCTGATTGTTAGAAAAAAAAAAAAAACAATGAGGGAAAACTTCAAAGAGGAGCTGCTCTGTTGCCTAGCAACAAGGCAGGACTGCTCCCCCTCCGTGCATCCCTCGGTTTCATCACTCTATCACTCTGCTCCATCTCTCCTCCAGATCACTCCTTCACTTGCATCACTTTTTCCTGCGTTTATCACTCCATCTTCACACTTTTTCTTTCTCCGATCTTCAGGGTCTCTCACTCATCTGAAGCTTCCTCCCCTCCCCCTCCCCATCACCCCCCTCCTCCTGCCTCCTGTTTAAGAGGAAAGATCCCCAGATATCCAACATGGGAAAACTTGAGCATCCAGTTGAGCAACCTGAGAGGTGACCTACGGCATCTTTCACCCTCTGATGGAACCAGCTTGGCTGCAGAGGGAACTTTTTTGTTTTTGAGTCTCGTAGATCAACATGAATCAGGATCCAGATCAGAACCTCCTATGATCCATCCTCTCCTTCTTCCACCTTTTTACCCCCCAGCTCACTGACTTCCTGTCTCCTCAGCAGGTGATTTTTAAAGTCTCCAGGGAACCAGAGGAAAAAAAACAAGATGAACAAACTCACAGATCTTCAGATGAACTTGGATAAAATGTCCGTTCTACACTTTAGGACTTGTTTCAGTCTTTTTTCCCACTCACAATCAGCTGAAGGTCTGGACTTTGACTAGACCGCTTCAGCCCCCTTTTACTTTTCACTCATTCTGATCTAGATCTCATCTTCAATTCTATTCAGTTTATTTCTATAGCACCAAATTCAACACTTGTCATCTCAAGGCACTTTACAGTTCAACCAGA